TAACATGATGGAGGTTGGCGATGATAAATCACCATTCTGGGGACCTCTTCTGTACCCAAAATTTGTTACTATTCCGATCTACAAATTTCAACAAGGTACATCCCACATTGAAACTTTTACCAGTCACAGCAGTATTACTCAGTAACTATAAACCTATAAAACTAGTATTTTCACTATTATATAAATGGCTAGGGAGATGGTCATAACCTCATATGTATATTCACATTTGACCGTCCGCGATATATCCTACCAGTTACCAACCGCAAGGATTTCCCAGCAGAAAATTTGTGGACTATCATAAAATCTCAACTGGAAAGGGCGATTTCCCAGCTCATTCGGGAAATTTCTCCAAGTCGATGGTCAGCGTCTGACTGCTATTGACGGTTTGCTCTCGGTAAATGCCCACCAAGGACTGGGCTTTTTCGTACAGTGACTGTTTTAACGAAATCACGATAAACTGAAAGTTATCCCCGCAATGTTCCCGAATATAGTTGGCTACCTTGGCCACATTGGTGTTGTCCAACGCAGCATCCACCTCATCCAATACGAAAAAGGGAGAAGGTTGATAGCTATGGATGGCAAACAACAACGCCAATGCAGCCACCGTCTTCTCCCCTCCGGATAACTGCTCCATATCCCGAAAACGCTTCATGGGAGGCATGGCGTGATACTTTACTCCCTGCAGGTACGGTTCTTCGCCATCTTCCAAACTCAGGTAGGCAGTCCCACCCAGGGGGAAGGTGGCGCTTTTCGTCAGGTCCTTGTAGATTTGGTCAATTTTTTCGGCAATATGGCTATAGGCCCGGTAAAAACTGTCGTAGCGTTTTTGCTTGATAGCATTAAAACGCTCCTTGGCGGCCTTGGCTTCTTGTCGAGCTTCTTCAAATTCCCGCTCAGTCTCTCGGAGTTTAAGTTCCACTCCCCCAAGTCGTTCGTAAGCATGCATGTTAGGCGCCAGTTGTTCGAGTTCCTTGGTAAATTGTCGAATCTGGTCGACAAAACGTTGTTCAGCATCCTCACCCCCATTGTCCCGATCCCGTTTGCTCAGGGACGAGAAATCCACTTTGATGCCCCACTGGGAAACCCGTTGTTTACTGGCCGCACGCTGTTGGGGAGTTTGCAGTTTCTGGGCGCGCTGCTGGAGAAAACGATTGGCCTGGGTCATCGATTCGCCCTGCTCATCGTCGCTACTATCCAGATCCATTTCGTCGGGTTCTCGGAAGAGGTCCGATTCTTCCAAGGATAGTTTATCCAAAGACCCCTGCAACAGAGGAAGTGCCACCTCTTCCAATTTACAGCGCCGAAGGGCAGACGCACGTTCAACGTGGAATTTTTGTACCAGCGACTCCTTTGTAGTCGAATCATTTGCCAGCTGATCCAATTCTTGTAGTTTAGTCGCCACAACTTTCTTCTGGGCGGCCACCTTTTCCGACTGGGCATCGTACTGCGCCTTTACACGGGCAATGTTGACCTGTAGGGTCTCGGCGTTCTTGCGGATCTCGGAAAGCTTAGCCTCCCGCTGGGCCTTATCCGCACGTAGGTCGGCCAGTACGCGCTGATCCTCTTCTAGGACGGATTCTATACGAGTTACCCGGTCCTGCAACGACTGCAGTTGCTGGTTTTCAAATAGAATCTGGTTATGCAACTTGGACTGCTGGTTGCTAAACTTTAGGCGTAATTCAGTGGTCTTCTCAGAGAAACTCACCTGGTGCTCTTCGTACTCCCGAATATGACTGACTCCAATGCGACCACAGAAATCCTCAAATACGCGGTCTTCCACCTGGGCGATGGAGCCTTGGATAGTTTGCAATTGTTCGTCCAGGTTAGACAGCTGTTGTTCAATAGCATGGTGACGTTGGGTACACTCGCGCAGACTACGGTCCACATGCTCCAGTTCCCTCTCGGTGTTCTCCCGCTTCCGCGTTACGGTCCGTACTTCTTCTTGAGCAAAACGTTGCCGTGTCTGCAACCCAGTAATCTGCGATTGGAGTTGTTCGTCGCTATTTAGCTTACGTTTCTCCCGAGCAAGGTCGTTAAGTTGGGCGACCAGATGCTCCTTGGCCTTGGTAAGATTTTCCAATTCCTTATCCTCCCACCGTTGTTGACTGCGAGCAGCGTTGGGATCAGGAGCCCCGCCGGTAATCATCCCCGTTTTGTGGATTACAGTTCCATCCAGCGCCACTGCCTTAACCTCCTGCTTAAGCTCGTAACAGATATGTTTGGCCACTTTTTGCGAGTCACAAATGAGTGTGTTACCACAAGCGAATTGCATTGCCTTTTCGACGGCTGACTCAAACTGAAGCACGTCCACGGCTAAATGAGCGCCCTTGGCCAGGGAACGGAGCTTTTCCTGCACAGGCTGGGTAGCCAAACTATCCAGCGGGAGAAAAGTGGCTTGACCGGCTCGCTGTTCTTTCATATAATGGATGCACTCGATAGCAGTGCTCTGCTTGTCTACCACAATAGCATCCAAATGACGACCAAGGGCGATTGCCACAGCTGCGTCGTACTTGCGTTGGTTAGGGCGGCACAGATCCCCCACCCGACCGTACACTCCCGGGAAGATACGCTTTAAACTCTCCAGGCACTCTTTCATCTTGCGCTCGCGTTCTGACTCACGCTTGTCCACTCGGGCTTGTGCAAGCTTGTTAAGAATGCCCGTGAGCTTTTCGTTGGCTTCCACTTCAGTTTGACGAATACGTTGCCGGTCAGACTGGAAACGTTGCAGTCGTCCCGTGGTTTCTCCCAGCTCCTGCTCCACCTGTCCGAGTTGTTGGGTGAGTTTATCCACGTATTCAGTCAGACCCCGCTGGTTCTCCTGCAGATTTTCTTTGCGAGTTTGGTACTCCTCCTTTTGCTCCTGTAGCCGAGCAGCTGTCTCGGCCTGGGTTTTTCGAGTACGTTGCAGATTCTCGAGTTGTTGTTGCACCTGTACGGTCCGAATGGCTACTTGTTCTTTGAGGCGATGGTATTCGGATAGACTATGCTCATCCAGGTGGGGGCCGCGCTGCTTTACCTTTTCCTCCCATTGGGCCTCAAAGCGTTGAGCAGCCCGGTTCACGTTGGCCAGCTCTCGCTCCAGGGTTTGTACGACTTGCTCCTGCCGGGCCAAATCCTGCTGTACGGAGTTAAGATTATCCTGGTCGCGGGTGACCTTTTGGCCACTGTAGCTGATTTTTTCGTCCACTCGGATCACGGATGGTTTCTCTTGCTCGACCTCCATTTCACACTGTTTAGCTCTTTTCTCTAACTTTGCTAAGTCTCTGTAAATGCGTGCTTGTTCACGTCTGGCCTCTTTGAGTTCGGCTTCCTCTGTCTGCTGCAGCCCGTAACGCTCCTCAATGACGCGGTAGTTGGAATCCAACTCTTGTTCTAGTTTGCCGATATTCTGTTCTACGTGAAACAGCTTCCAAAGCAGGTGACGAGAGATCAACTGGTTCTTTCCTTTGGTCAATTGCTCATACTGGTCCAGTTCCGCCTTTTGGTCGCGATATTCCTTCATCTCATTCGTAATCCCCCGACGTTTGTTCAAGTTGAACGTCGAATTCTCCGTAGCCAGATCCTGTTCCGCCTTGAGTTTCTCGTAGTCGGCCTTGAACTCCCAGGAGCCGCTAATGTGCTCAATCAAGCGAGCTAAATCTTTTGCCGACTGCGAAGCAACAGCCTCTACGTCGCCTTGAAAGACCAAGAAATTACGAGCGCGCACGAGGATATTTTGTTGTTCCAGCATGCGATTGTATTCGGTATGTGAAACATTCCTTCGGTTGATCCTATATTCGCTCGTCCCGTTGTTTAGAATACTGAGTTGGTGAAATATAACAGTAATCCCGGAGTCAGCCGAATTAGTTAGTACGCGGTTTGATTAAGTTGGCAATCTCTTTAGCAGAGCACGAATTCGTTATTTAACAATGCCAACCACGGTTGTACATCACGCTGTATTCATGTGTACCCGCTTATGGTGACGCTACAGTATTGCGATATCTTAAGCTGACTACTTACCTGCGCATAAAGCGAATCTCCTTACCCTCATCGGTGACATAGAGGGCGGCCACATGGCCACGCTGAGGGAGCTCTTCTCCCAATGGGTCGGCAGCATTCATAACGCGTGATTTTCCGCTATATATAAGCTCCTTGAGTTGGGCCGATCGCAGTTGAGACGACTTCACACCTAAAACGAAGGATATTGCGTCCATGAGATTGGACTTGCCTGGTTCGGACCCGAGTCAACCCAGTGAGTTGGCGCGGAGAGTTGGGGGTTAATTAGTGTGCCGCATACCGTTATCCACAAATGAAACATTAGACAACGATTAGTAAAATGAGTACCATTATTCCAAGATGCTACCACGCGAGTTCTCGCGCGGAGTAGGCGGGTGATGTGAGAATCACCAATGGAGTAAACGGTATCGAAAAGAAAAGGTTGCAAAGACTGTGTACAACTTACCTGCGCCATTGGGTCCAATAATTGATGTGAACGTCTTGAAAGGGCCAATGGTTTGGCGTCCTTTGTAGGATTTGAAGTTGTTGACCTCTAATTCTACTAAACGACCCATTATGTCGGGGTTACGAGGAGAGCGAGAGGACTATATGGTAGCGGGATTCGAATATATGGATTCACTAAAGTAGGCGTTGACGGATGAGTAACAAAAGCAACACTTCACGAAATGACAACAGAAGTAAATATCTTGGAAAACTTTAGAATTGAAACAGCAAAGGTAGTAACGCGTCCAAAGTGTATGCAGAGTTGGGCACTTGGTACATAGTGTGCACCAGAAGGGAGGGCAACAGTAAACAACAGCAAAATGTATGCCAGACCAGAGACTGGTGAATAATATATTGCAATCCACGCCGTAGTCCACCAAATCGGAAGCGCGATAAGTCTCCGGTCTCTTACCTGCACACTGCAAGGGGGAAGAGTTGCTCCATGAGAATGAGAAAAACCAAGCGCGGGTTCGTTAATTAGGAATATAAAATAAAATTTAAGATGATTGGGATGTGCACGTGGCTCCATAGTGTAGTTGGTTATCACATGAGGTTCTGATCCTCACGACCCGAGTTCGAATCTCGGTGGGGCCTTCATTTTTTTAGCACTTTTGCTGCGGTGGAAAAGTATGTCACGTGATGAAATGGTTCAAAATGAATCGGGTTGTCGCAAGATAAACCTTAACTCGAATAAAAAGTAGCCAGACTTTTGTGAGTAACCTCTGCACTAGTCGACAGTTATTGTGATGGCCACTGGATTTAGCTCTCGATTAGAGCCACCTATTTTGGTAGTACTATGGGAACTCTTCCACAGATTATATTCAATGATGTAAGTCATGAGAGTATTCTTTTCTTTTTATCAGGGAATTTCCAAATGAGTACTGAACTCTGCACGAGTACCTCATTTCAAAATAGATTCCTAAATTGGCAAGTAGGTTATTTCGTTTGATTTTAGAGTCAATGTTTGGAGAATTCCTGATTGTGGCCTGAGTTCCATGCTAGCGTGCCTGATTGGAATACTTTCCACATTTAGAAATTGAGATGATGATTTTACATATATTTTCTTAAATTCGCAGTGAATATCTTATGTTTTAGCCATATATGACCTCACGGCATTGGTTATTAATGTTTATGGGCATTATTTTCATGTTGTGATGATAGTTTATTGAGTTTTCTTTAATTATGACATCATATAATCAGTACTGGAGAGTTAATGACCATTTAGTTAGTTGGTTTGAAGTTTTGAATGTTCTTTTTATTAAACATATTGGCCATTTTGCATATGAAACCAAAAATATTGGTGCATAATTATGCCAACATAATGAGTTAGATATTGTTTATTGTTTAAATCATTTATTTAGTTGTACTTACGGGTTACAACATTGATTACAAAAGGCCAATGGCCAACAAATAATAAAAACCATCTCAAATTTTATATATGTTTATTAAGTTACCATTATATCACACAAATAGTATGTACACAAATCCTTGAAAACTGTATCACCATGTCACAAAAGCCCGTAGTTCAAACCAGCAAGGGCACCTTCCCCGAAAACCTTAGTACAAGAATATAACGCAAATCCGACCAGATCAATCACGTGACTGTGTTTTCTTTAAAAAAAGAAAAAAGTAAACAAAAAAGAAAGCTGTAGCACCGTCTATTCCCAAGTAGTCACCTACCTTAGTACAAGGACGGCTTACAAGTGTTTAACTGCGCAGATCTAACGGGATGCGGTGTTTTCACAAGAATGTGGCCACAGCTGACTGGTTGTCGTGATTTGGAATCTTATCCTATGTGTTTAACTGTGGCCATGGTCCTTGATTAGCATTTTTCACTATGTATGACATTTCCTTTGAGATGATCGCATCATTATAAATAAAAATGGGATCCAGGTACCTAGACCTGGAATGTCATTATTCTTCTTTGTTTCTTTGCTTTGTTTTGATTTTGAAATAAAACCTGTAATTGAAATACTTCATTTTATACAAAAAAAATTACCGTTTTGATATTTTTCAGAGCTTATTTAGCAAAGGTAAGCCCTTGTAAATTGTATCATTGCTATTCCATAGAAATTGGAATCATCACTGGAAGATACTGGAAATGCCTGCCAGTCTATAAGCAATTCAAGTACTTTAATCAGCACAACTGAATACAATGTGCCAAAGCTTGAGTGGTTTAAGATGTTGTAGCTCAATCATGAGACCAGCGACAACAACACTGCATGATCCAATTTCCATTCTAGTAACCATCGAAGCTGTGTCTATCACAACTCTACTAGTATAATTAGCCATACATAGTTTTACACGTTGTCAATATTTTTCTAGTGTAATGGTGAAAATTCACCAATGTGATATTTATTCAAAGGGAACCTCGCATAAAACCATGCTTGGTAAGAATAACGGAACATAGACTGAACATCAAGCTGAAATTGCAAACTAGATAATGGGGTTGCCAATTTAAACTGCTTCAGCACCGGCACTCGCATCAGGGGAAGCTGCCATTCCCTTCTTTTTGCCACCTTTGCCACCCTTTTTTTTAGGGCTGGGATTACGGCGGACTAAATTTTGCATAATCGGTTGCGTTGCCCCATTGACGAGGTTCGTCGAGGGTAAGGATGCGGATACGGGGTTATGGGTGCCCATGATAAGTGTTCCCACGACGGCGATAAGAACCAAACGAACAGTTGTGCGAGTGTACATGATGACAAAATGCAAAGTGAGTAACGATAAACCGTTTAGAACTGCGATCTATAAAGCGAAAGAATAGTATTGAATTGATGTGGTGATAAATATGGGAGGATACACTGAGGATTTATATATTCATGAATTGCTCACAAAAACTCAAGGAGTCGTGTTTATGAATATCCACTTACACACAAAGTGCCGGACAACTTACTATTCGGCTGAAACTCTTACATATCTGCATGTACATCAGCCGGAAATAGATAGCATCATTGGGTATTGGCATATGCCAGACTTTCACTTTTTTGTTGGATAACTCGGGTGCTATATTTCATTTAAAGTCTTGGCAAAATATACAAAGTGACAACAATAAAACGTACTCCGATATCTTTAACATAAATTCAACACAGCAAGTACTACCGTGTTAGCAATAGGTCCTTACTTCAATTTCATTGCAATGGGTTCTTTGAATAGCTGCTTGCGTTCATTGTCACCTCATGATTTATGCCGGACAGGGGGCGGGACTCTTTGTGTCCTCTACCCTTGAACTCATGCTACTTTATCCTTTGTTTTTAACACCATTGAGTGACACAACAAAGCCAGTTTTTTGATCTACTAAAACACTACAATGACATAGTAACCCAAGGGAGTTTTATTTTTATTTTGCAATTCATCTGCATTTTTTCAATTGAACAATCATATTAGCGGGTTTGTGAAATTACCACAGTGGATATTGACGATGAACCTGGTAAAAATGGTCCACAATCCTTCCCCCCCCCCTCTCCCAAGAATCTTCGACGAGTAAGACAAGGGAAGGGATCGGGCACCAGTCGTTGCACAAGTACATGAATTGACAGATAAACAAAGTATACCCAGGTGCGTCTAACCTAATCCTTGTTAAAATTTCACTCTATTGGAATACAGGGCTCCAAAACAAAGTGGGAGGATGCTATTGATATTCATTACTAAACATAAAACAGCGCCAATAACATGTTATTATCCTGTTGCATCTTGAAAGTCAATGTGAATTCTGTAGACCAGAGTCATTACATGAAAATAAACTTATACAGTGCATACAACAATTGTACGGTATCAAAGTTGATATGATGAAATAATCTATCAACTTGTGATGTACCAAAGCCGTTTATTTTTAATAGCCATTTATCATGCTGAATTTTATCAGTTTTGCGAAAGTTGGTGCGGGTTTAATCATCACTTTTCTGAGATGTTTTGTGAAAAATTTCGTACTGTGATTGAATTTCCTTTCCTTTACCATTCTTGTTGATGAGATGGAGCAGTATATTTAAACATGTTCCATTCCTGTGGATAGGTTCAGTGTCCATCATTAAGTCCATTACTTAGTTTATTCTAAATTGTAATCGGTTAAACAGAATAAATTCTTTCTTAGTATAGTTGATTTTTTATCCGTTAAACAACATGTGTGGTTTGAATTTATTGAATTTATAAAATTGTTCATTTTTTTGATGTCCCGCTCAAGTACCATACTTGTTTTAATCGTTTTTTAACACAATACTAATCACAGGATTAGTCGATTGTGAACTAGTAGTAGAATTATATTGATTTCGTTTCGTTATCTCTATTCTATTATAGAAGTTTTCTCTAACTTGATGATGATGATGACTATGGATATCACATGACCAAAAAATCACATGACTTGGCGCATGTATGGTTCGCCAATGAAT